CCCGCGCCCGGGGCAAACGAGGTGCAGATTCGACCGCGAGCCACAGGAATCTGCGGGACGGACATCCACTACTACGAGCACGGGCGCAATGGGAACTACGTCGTTCGCAACCCGCTGGTCCTCGGCCACGAGGCTGCTGGTGAGGTCGTCGCCGTGGGCAAAGACGTGACCTTAATCGCGGTCGGGGATCGAGTGGCCATCGAGCCACAGCGCCCGTGTGGCGGGTGTAAACAGTGCAAAGGGGGAATCTACAATCTGTGTCCCAACCTCAGATTCACGGGTTCAGCGACCGCGGATCCGCCCGTGCAGGGCTCTCTCCAGCAGGTCTACAACCACCCAGCGAGTTTCGTGCATCGCCTGCCTGAGAGTCTCACATTCACCGAAGGCGCTTTGATCGAACCCCTCTCGGTCGCCATGCACGCCGGACGTCGTGCGGGACTTGAAGCCGGGCAGTCCGTGTTGATTATGGGGGCTGGTGCCATCGGGCTTCTCTGCGCCAGTGTCACCCGGCTGTCTGGTGCGTCGAGAGTGTGCATGGTGGACGTCGACCAATCTCGGCTCGACTATGCAAAGTCTCACAAACTCGCCGACTACGTCGAGCTGATGCCACGGGGTCAATGGCAGGACTTGTCCAAGGCAGAGATCTTTGCGCGCACGGCCCAGCATCTCCTCGGCCAGCCCGGGTTTGGACTTGCGGACCGGGTGTTCGAGTGCACAGGGGTTGAAACGTGCGTCAATGTCGGCATCCACTGCACCGCCCCAGGCGGCAAGGTGGTCTTGGTCGGCATGGGCAGCCCATTGCAATCGATCGACGTGGGAGCCGCCGCGAAGCGCGAGGTCGACTTGTTGGGGCTCTGGCGATACGCCAATACCTTTGAAACCGCCATCGAGCTGCTGGCTTCCGGTCGTCTGGACGTCAAGTCACTGGCGACCCATCGCTTCGATCTCAACGAGGCGGCCAAGGCGTTTGATCTGGTGCTCCAAAAACCGCAAGGTCTGATCAAGTGCGTCATCTCATCAGATTAGGCCCCTCCCAGGTCGAACACAGCCAACGAACCAGGAATTCACATCTGTCTATCTACTTGCTCAAAGTGTCCGCAGGCTGGACGACCTCAGAATCATGCCGCCTACTTACTTGCCGGTACGACGGGAGGCTTCTGATAAGGACCCGTCCTGAATACTTTGGCTTTCCCCGCATGAAGGTATCTTTTGAGACCGATTCACGACCTACAAGGAGAACAACAGCCTCCGTGGCTGAAGGACACTTTGAGTGAGCCGGATTCTGGGAGGGAAGGAAGCCTTTTTGGCAGTATTTCCCCACAGAATCTTTTCAAGATTGATTCGTAGGAGAGCTCAAGCCTAAGCCTATTGTAGCTTGGCCTAACTTATTGAGGAAACTATATTTCTACCAATCACATACAATCATGACCGCTCACAAGTGGGTCTGACATTTCATGCCTGGAGCCCTGCGGGAGGCAACCTGGGAGTAGGGAATAGGATGTTTGTTCTCCTCTGTGAATGACCAGTTGTAACTTTTCCAGTTACGAACCCAAAGGGAGAGAAAATTCGGAGTATGGATTTCTCTCGTGCATTCTCTGCGCGTGTGACAAACGCTCTTTGGAAATGGCATCCGGCTATATGGGTGGTATTGCCTCCCGTGCCGGCTATTTGGACCATGCCTACGAGTACAAGTAGGCATATATCCGGCGGCCACTTTTGCCACGCAGCGCCCAGGCCGCGAAGTTTATGACCCCTTCTCAAATCTGCTGATCAAGGCTTTGACCATGTTGGAGATTATTATGCTGTGTCGGAGAGTTCCTGTGGAGCGTTGTTGAGTAGAGCAGCTGGACGTGGTGGGAGTAGTCTCGAGTGTGCAAGGTCGTGCTCCAAGGCAGGGGGCACCCAGGGGGGTTGTTGCATTATTATTATTCAGCTTGGACGGCACCCGCACAAGCACCGAGCCAGGCATGCCAGGGCCCTCTCCGGGGTTGGGATGGTCACGACGGGGTGCTGCACCCCGCAATCTGGCGGAACCGAGGCCTTGGGGGTGACTACCGCCCACTTGTCCCGTAGTTGGATTGGTCACACTGTCTGTGGGTGCCCCCAAGCCTGTGATGTCCAATCGCCCCCCAGCGCTCTAGTCGACTCCCAGGACAAAATCTTGATGTCTGAATTTTTCGCTGTCTCTCGTTACTTGGACTGCTGCTCTTGAGAGAGATACCGATCAATTCCAAAAGATATGGTCACCGGCGAAGGCGTGCGGTGCCGCGCAGCGCGTGCTTGCCGGAGGTGCCATGTCAAGAGAATCAAGTGCGATGCCATTGAGGGTGGCATGCCCTGCACGGGATGTCAACAGGCCGATAACAGTGAATGTACATTGATGCCATCGAACAGAGGTACATACATTCGAACGGCCTCCCGACGATCGAGGCATCAACCAGCGCAAAGGGTGCGGTCCGCAGTTCCTCGCAGTACAGCGGTGTCTCGCGATCAAGATTACCAACGATCGATCGCGCCCGAAGAAGCAACGACCGAAGAACAGTACGAAGATCACCACCAACCTACACAAAACCCCGACTCAACGGCGCCAGGGACCGCGGGGTTGCGAGGAGCAAATCGTGGTGCCGGCAGAGGTCGAGACTCTGTAGCATCGCCACCGGACCGTCGTGTCACTTCACCCACATCTGGGGCCGAGGCCACCACCTCACCAATGTTGGACCTCGCGACGGTAGATCCGGATTCCGCTCATAGGGAGCCTTCCTGGACCACAATGTTTGACAGGCTCTTTGACAATCTGTCACATAACCAAAAGGCGGCGCTCGACAAATGTTCCATCACGTATCTGGGTGAGTCATTCCCATTGGGTATGGTCCTGGAAGAGGTGAATGAAGGTGGACGAACACGCCTCCATCACCCCGGACCTCCCGTGTCCGAACCCTCGGTGGTAGAAGAGCCATCGGGACAGCGACACCCCTCGCATATGCGGCCAGAAGATATCACATACCTCAAATCGAAAGGGGCATTCACATTCCCCGACGCCGACATGCTCGATGCATTGGTGGCGACCTACTTGGGACGCGTTCATCCTCTGTACCCAATAGTGAATCGACAAGAATTCATACGACAGTATGAGGCCGATGAGGTCCCGGCCATGCTGCTGCATGCCATCTGCTCGATCGCCGCCACATTCTGCGACCTCGCGCTCATCCACCGCGCCGGATTCCTCTCGCGGCTTGATGCGAGGTTGGCATCCTACCGCAAAGCCAAGGTGCTCTTCGAAGTCGGCTACGAAACGGACAAGATCGTGCAGCTCCAGAGCGCCATCTACATGACCTTTTGGGGAGGCGGCCCGCTCAACCATTGGAACTATTTCAGCTGGATCGGCACGGCCGTCACCATCGCAGAGTCGCTGGGGATTCACCGGTCCATGGCCAACGCCGACATGGACGTTTCTGACCGCAGTCTCTTGAAGAGGCTGTGGTGGACGCTCGTCAACCGGGACGCACACTGCCAAAGCCTGGTCGGGCGCCCGTTCCGCATCAACCAAGACCAGGTGGACATCGAGCCCTTGCTGATGGAGGATTTTGAGGAGGACATGCAAAGCCCCGAGTTCAAGTCGCACCCGTTACGAGACTCGTTCGGGCTCTACCAGATTCACATGTCTCGACTGTCGCTCATCCTCAAGGACATTGTAAACACTCGCTTTCGGCCCGGCCGACTGCAGTCGAGAGCTGCCCATCTGTACGAGAAACTGCGGCGCTGGCGGCACGAGTTGCCCGCGGAACTTCAGTGGGTGGACGGCGACGCGAACCTCGACGTCTTTGCGTTGTGCCTCTGCACATCCTACAACCATCATTTGATACTCCTCCACCAAGACCAGCCACCCATGGGCGGTGTCGGTTTGGCGTCGACTTCTACCCAAGAAAATTCCTTGCTGTTGAAAAGGTCAATCCCTGCGCCGGAGATCGCGGCCAGGAACGTTACGTGCCTCGTGTACACGATCTACGCCAAGTCAAACCCGCTGTGCATCCCGCATGAAACATTCCAGGGCGTGTTCCTGGCCGAGGCCGTCATGTTTACCCAGATGAAGACCTCCGACCCAATGACCGCTCAGCACGGCAGAGCCGCGTTGTCGGCCTGTCAGATGCTGTGGCACACCGTCCTGGAAACCTGGGACGCGTCGCCGTGGATCCTCCGTTTGTTCGACCATCTAGTCGGCCGCCTCGGCCTGCCAAGCGACAGGCAGAACGACGCTGGCTGGGCAACGACGACGACGACGGCGGCGGCGGCGACGGGAGAGTCCTCTGCCGACGCGCTACACCCCGACGAGTTTGTCGATGACTTTGGAGACGCTCTTCCAACGCTCTCCACGTTTCTCGACATGACGCAGGACGGCGGCGCCTTGTCGAATTTTGTAGATTTCCCCATGTTTTCAGGGTCTTTTGGCATGGCGGATCAGGGTCTGGGGATGCCATAGCAGAGCATTCCTAGGGGTGGTGGTGGTAGAAGATGCGCATGGATGACTTTTAGTATGATTTCGAGGATATAAGCGTGCGTATGATCGAGATGGGAGTAGTCTCACGGGTACTCATATGTCAGTTCTCTCGAATGACTCCCGTAACAGAATAGTTGACCATAAACCTGTACATGCAAAGGGTTTACCGTAAGTACTTCAGACTCAAGAGGACCCGGCTATACCCCGATCAAAATCACAAGTCTAGAGGTTCTCCAGCCTTTGCCATTCGACGGGAAATGTGAAATCCCCGTATGCTGGGCCGTCGGGTCCATCATGCGCTCTCCGAAAGTAGGCTGTCTAATCAAGGGAGTTCTCTAATACCGCCGGCTATACTGGTCTACATACAAGCGGGCCTTTGGATCACGCCAGCTCCGGGGTAGAATTTCACGACACGAGTAACAATGATGTTGGAGTGAATTTGAAGCGAACAGCACTGAAGAACTCAATTTTCTCAACGTCCCAGACACACAAACAACTCTTTCCAATGGGTACGGAAACACAATCATATACATTCCCGAAATGGGGGGACCTGCCACGGATTCCCAACACCCCGCAAGGCTGTCTCTGGGGCTTTTACGACCGCCAGGGCAAAAAGGACGAAGTAGGTGGTAAGCGTTCCCTTTCCCTCGTTCACAAAACCTCATACGAACATGAATTGATTCTGTCCCTTGGGGAAAAGCAATCAATCTCCTCACTTCCGCCGTGGTCAGAGAGGCCAGCAAAGAAATCCAGACGGGACAGCACGTCCAACTGGACTGGGAGCTACATAATCAGCAGTTCCCGGGTTACAATCGCAAACCCTTTGACCACAGGATCATCGACCACAAGCCCCTCGGGATATGTGGCTTCGACGACGAAATCCACATGAATACGCAGAGCGGGTCGCAATGGGACGGACTGAAACATGTGAGTCTCTCCCGAATGATGGGGAGCTTTTTGCTTGACCTTTGTCAATTTGTGTGTGACTCACTGCCCTCACCCGCGCTCTAGGACGGCTACGGCAACGGTCACAATGTCTTCTACAACGGCCTGACATATGAGGAAGCGTGTCGGTCAACCACAAACGGAACACATAGTGAGTTTCCCATCCGACCCACGAATTACACGAACTTTTCTATTATATCAGCGGAAAAAGACCTAACACCTCGGTGGTTTCAGATTGGTGCGAGAGGGGCGGCATCGTCGGTCGGGGCATCTTGGTAGACATGGTAAAATATTTCCTTCTTTATCACTCTTCACCTAGGTGTCCTGGGCAGAAATGATCAACCGATTGACACACAAGTCCAACAGGTGCGATTTTACGAGAGAAGGGACGGGCGCGCCCCAGATCCGTGGACGCGGTATGAGATCCCCCTGGGCGACATCCAGGCCGCGCTCGAGGATCAAGGCACGACACCCCGTCAGGGCGACATCCTGATGATCCGGTCAGGCTACGTGAAGCGGCACAACGAATCGACCTCGCAAGAGCGGGAAGCCTGCACTTTCGGCATCGGCAAGCCGGCCATTGGGATCGCCGCGGACGAGGAAACCGTTGCGTGGATGTACGACCAGCACTTTGCGGCCCATGTCGGCGACACCGTGGCGTTTGAGGCGTGGCCACCGTCCCCGGCGAGGGAGTACAGCTTCCATAACTGGTCGCTGGTCTGGTGGGGGACGCCGCTGGGCGAGCTCTGGGACTTGGAAGGTCTGGCTGGGACTTGTGAACGGCATGGTCGGTGGTCCTTCTTCTTCACCAGCGCTCCTCTGCACGTCAAGGGTGGGGTGGCAAGTCCTCCGTGCGGGATTGCCATATTCTGAAAGAACAGTCGATATTTATCCTATAGCTCGTACCACAGGCTAGTCTTCAGATCGACGCATAGAAGATGGAGCAACTGGGGAGGAATACGACTCGTATTCTTGACCAAGTTGGCAGTGATTATAAAGTCTACTTGCATATACTTTGGCTTAATAGCCTCTCTCAGAGTCGTGTCATGTCGCCATTAATGCCGTATCACAAAGACCATCTGGGCTCTGGCAGCTACCAAAGTTTGACCTGCTCTGGTCGCCATAGACCCTGCAAGAAAAGTACTCACAGGACCAACAAAAGAGCCGCAGAGAACATTTCTGTATTGATTGACGAAATCTACGGCGGCCGAGAGAACAGGATATATCAACTTCCATCCCAGTAGCGACCAACATGTAGAGCCCCCGTGACCAGCATCTCCGATCCGCTCGTGTAAGAGCTCGCCTCGCTCAAAAGATACACGGCGGCGCCCTTGAGTTCGCTCCTGTCTCCCATACGGTGGAAAGGGGGCTCTGTCACAGCCACCTCGGCGACTTTGGGGTGCAGCTTACCGTAGTTGACGAGGGTGTCGGTGTTGATATATCTATATGTATATGTTCAGTTAGTCCGGGGCGGGCCAGTTTGTGAACAGGTCAATAGCCCCCTTTCAAGAGCTGACAGCCAAAGAGAGAAAGAGTTGGTCATGGCACGCACCCTGGCGAAATACAGTTAACCCGGATCCCATCCTTGGAGAGCTCAACAGCCAATTGACTCTTCAGAGACACGACCGCCCCCTTGCTGGAGCAGTAGTCGCTCGTGAACTGGTGGTTGCTGGACTGGTGTGCCGCCACAGACGCGATCATCACAATGGACCCAGCACCCGAAGCATTCGGCTTTCGAGGCTGGCGAACCATTTGCGCCACGGCCAGTTGCGTCGCGAAGAACGTCCCAAAGACATTGATGCTGAAAGTCCGCACCACGCTGTCGGGAGTCTTATCCAGAAACCGGTTGTCAAAGCAGACTCCGGCAGCCGTCACTCTGCCCATCATGATCGCCGCGTCAGCCATCGTGGCAGCTTATGATATTTGTCCGGAGAGTGCGTTGGACTTACAAACCATCAATCCGGCCAAAGTCGGCAACGATATTGTCGAATGTCCCTTTCAACCGGTTGAAGTCGGTGACATCGGACCTACCACAATGGTCAATTCCACCCTCGTCTATATTCGCCAAAAAAAAAGCAATGGAGATGACGAACTGGTAAAACTTCGACTTGGGCGAGATCTTTAGTAGTTTTGTGTAATGCTCGTGAGGCTCTGGCAGAGCATCGACGATGGCGACCAATCCGCCCGCCTCGGCAACGGCGAATGCCAGCGCAAGGCCGATGCCTCGCCCACCTCCAGTGATCACAACGACATTATCCTTGAGAAGGAACTGATCCAACACATTGCGCGTCAGATACCGGTCCAATTCATCTCCCTCGGTGACATTCGAATGGCCGTTAGCATTGCCATTGCCATTCATGATGGAGGACCAGACGGCGTTTCAAGTCGTGACACCAACGTGCTGGGGCTTCAGATGTTGCACGACGGCAGACCACACCCACAGCGTTTTTTAAGAGCTTTGTCTGGGGTACAGGAACTGGATCTTGGAGAACCTCAGTGATTAGAGACCTGGTTGATGCATTTGCCTTGGTGAACTCGTCCGAGCCCAAGTCACTGGGCCCATATAGCCGGATGAGTGTCTCGAATATACAGGCTGGATAGAAATGTGGGACCGATACTGACTCCAACAGGAGAGAATCTCGCATGGTGCCTTTTTGATGCGAATATCGATAGGTGCGAAGGGAGACTTGCTCTACAATTAAGAGTATCCTAGTGCAGACCATGTCGCCTTTTGAAGGTCAAGACTGACTGGTTGGTGACGATGAGATGGCCTCGTACGCCGGCAGTATTGCACATGACAACACTGCTTAGTAGGCACTCCTGACTCCAAAAACTGGGGTAAGAAGCCATGCACGTGAGTCTAGACCATTGTCAGTAGCAAACTCCTGTGGAGGAGGTCTTGTCGTACTAGGAATCACCCGCTCCAACTGCTCGGGGCACTTGAGACGCTGTGATTTTCGGTATGGCAGCAAGACAGTTTGCTGGGGCCACTGGGATTCTGCGGACGTAGCGACGAGCGAAGTGTCTCCTCAACGGTCCATCTCAGAAAGGCATAAGTTTGGTCTTGGGGGCTGGAGTTGTCGGATATCAAAATTCTGTTGGACATGAAAGGGAAGCCTCGTTTGATATTGGGACACTCATACCAATACTGATTAGACGAGATACAGGCTGGATATCCTTCTTTCCTTTTCCCTTTCTTCGTCCTCTGTCTTCTCCCATGTTGAACCTGCAACAGCTCATCCCAGTCGATCACCTTGTGAGTGTCCTTGACAGTTGTCAACTCGCTGAGTTCAATTCCCAACTCTTCCCTGGTCAACAGGCCCTCCTCGCCGCTCCAGCTCTGGTCTCTCAATGCGTTCCATATGGCCATCATGATGCCCATCTCCAGCCCTAACCCAGGCTGGACGGGATTAAAGTCCTCCAGAGATGTTTGGACGTACGCGGCCGGTATGCCCGTGATCTCGGACCAGTCGCTGAGCAGTTTCCCACTCGTGGTGTCTTCACTGTAGGCGAGGACGAAGCGGCCCTAGCCATTGCAATGTCAGACTCAGAGGGAAGCCCTCATACTTCAAATGCTTGTATCAGTCATTGCTCGTCATTGATATCCGCCTTGACTACTTCAACACCACGTTTGGCCAGCGCAGCGGCTTTGTCGCTGCTGGGACTGCGGGTCAGGCCTCTGACCTTGTGGCTGCCATCAGCGAGTACGGCGTTGATAGCCGAAAGGCCTTGAGTGCCTGTGGCTCCCACAGCGGTCAAGAGCTTGGCCATGCTGATCAGAAAAAGGTAGTCCAAGATCACATGTTATTCAGGTCATTGGGATCTTCTACCTACCTAAGCACAAGCAAGTGCATTTATAACCTGTCACCTTGGCTCGTAATAACCTACCTTCTCACTCTATATTGCTCAGCCACTCATTTGGTCAGTTTGACACCGTCCCAGCAGACCGCAAGGGTGTCATCATCACGATTCTCTTACAGGCGCAAAACACAGACGAATACGAAAGATGAAGAATGGGAGCAGTTTTGGCAAGATCTGGATAGCTTCTCATGAGAACCTGGCTCGGCCAAGGCTGTGAAAGCGCGAGTTCTCGAAGACTGTGCATGTGAATGTCATTACTAATGAGCGATATGAGGTTGGAGGGCTCGAGCGAGACAACCACGCCTTAAGAGAGAACGAAGATATCTGAAGGGGGCGAGGCTCTCGGCAAAAGTGAAGATATGGTAATAGCATTTCCGTAAACAACCATTCTCGTCAATCTGTACCGAGTCAGGGTCCTAGAAAAAAACGGTGGGACAGACCACAAAACTAGGACAAAGCACGGCCTCGACAACACTACTTCTACACCTTAACTATGAGGATAATTTTATAAAACCTCTGGGGATCGATAGATTATCTCTTATCTATTATACCTGTATAAATCTTGACTTGAAGATTACAACGTGAACTATAGAAGTATTGTCGTAAAGGCTCTGTATTTGCACCTATTTTGTATCTGTCCCACCTTTTTTGCCAGGACCCTGCGAGTACACTGTGCTGTGATTGGTAGGGAAGTGACTGATGATGACGTATCATGACGTAGCTGGCTGGAAGGTGTAGCTCGACTAGACCATCTTAGGTAGTGTTGCCGCCAGTAGCTAATCTCAGTCACGTGTGCCACACCCCAGCTTTCCACAATTCTCCACGGCCTGGCATCATATTGATCTTGTCGTCTCCAAGGAGGATCCCTATCTCACAACTCTGACATTCCAGCGACACCTTTGCGCAGCGCAACGTATTATTCATCCTGTCTACTTCCTCTTCGCGCTAACGTTAACTCTTGTCCGCGTCTGTTTCGAACCTCTTCCATTCGCTATGGCTGGGAGCGTGGCCCCCAAGCGTCTCTTCCAAGAATACAAGTCTCTCTTGACCAATCCACCCGACGGCATAACCGCAGGTCCAGTGAGCGAGGATGATCTCTTCCTCTGGGAGGCTCTGATCCAAGGCCCTGAAGGCACTCCCTTCGAGGGCGGCATTTTTCCTGCAGAGCTCAAGTTTCCCAAGGATTATCCTCTAAACCCGCCCAAGATGAAGTTCCTCGGCGAAATCTGGCATCCCAACGGTAAGTAAACACGAATTCGTAATTGCTCAAGAGTACTTCAACTAACAGGGAACAGTCTACACCAACGGCGAAGTCTGCATTTCCATCCTACATCCTCCCGGCGATGACCCAAACCACTACGAGAGTGCCTCTGAGAGATGGTCACCTATTCAAAGCGTGGAGAAGATCTTGATATCTGTCATGTCAATGTTGGCCGAGCCGAACGATGAAAGTCCAGCGAACGTGGAGGCAGCAAAAATGTGGAGAGAACGACGAGCGGATTTCGACAAGAAAGTGAGGGAAGGAGTGCGACGGTCATTGGGGTTATGATTGCAGGATCGGGCGATCCGACTCCAGGACAACTGTGCGGCAACAAACTCTTGTGCTCAACTTCTACAACAGAGCTGTTGACGCAGTCTTCCCATCAACCATTCTTCCAGGCCACCTTGTCCCTCATCCAGGCTTTGGATTTCGGCCTTTCGATTCAACATGAGCATCCGCTGAACTTCGGTGACCGCTGCTTGCAGACCTGGCAAAACAATTCCTGCTCGATCGTGCCACTCCTGATTTGCAAGCAATGCATTTGCTGTCATTCGATCACGCTTCGACAACTGCACCGTCTGGTTGCCAATATCTTGGTCCGAGACAACATCTTCCATTTTGAGGCCTATCCATTGTGCTTCGGGGATGTCACAACCGTGCTCCTGTGCCAAACTCCTCGATCCGTATAGATAGCACTTCAAAATTTTGACACCGTCTGGATCCCAATCAAACAAGCCAAAGACTGGAATCGAGTACGGAGACTGATCAAGCAGCTGGCGTAGGAAATATCGAGTCGTTATGTCAGGGTATCCCTTAGCCTAGGAACCAGTCAGTCATCAAGTCATCTTGCTTCCGAAGGTGCAGTTTACGGTAACAAGCAGGCCCGGGCCAATAACTGGATGCTGATGGAATTCCCTTTCGGTCAGTGCATTGAATGTTGCCTATTTTGTTGTTAGCAAAGTCTTCTAGGCGAGACTTCTTCAACAGACCTCTTTCTCTATGACCAGGATCCAATTGACGTGGCTTGTGGTGGCTAATGGGGTGTTCACGCAGATGGTCTGGACAACCTGCGCGTGCCTGTTTGAACGAACATCACAGAGACCAGCGGCCAGGCCTTTCGGGCTTGCAACCTAAGCGAACGAAATGAGAAGTGAAAGTTGACATGTGGAATGACACTTCTCCTACAACGTTGAGGTCTCGTCTTGTCACCCGACAAGTGTGGGCGATTTCATCGAGATATCGATCCACGGTTCCTTGGTTTTTGAAGAGATCTACATCGTGGTAGTAAATGTCCCTGTCTCTGAATGAGAAGACCATTCCATTTTGTGTTTTCAGCAAGACTGACCTCTTTGTGATTGTGACACCTTGCTTGATAGCAACATATATCTCACGCAAAATTCGCCCAACGCATGCTCACCAAGGAATCAGAGCCGTAGCACGGCTGCAGGTGTACACTACTCACCGAATCTCCATGCTTCGGCCTTGGTTCGGCCGGGAAAGTGGTATTGTACTTGTCGAGATTCAACGTGCCAGTGCAGATGCGTTGGGTCATCTTCATCAGGGTAGGCTTTCACCGCCGCTACCCGACTCATGGTAATCACCGGCTTGCCATGCCCGGATGTGTGTTTGATTTCTTGTATAATGGCATTGAAGGTCGCCTCGATGTAGTCCAGGACGAGTTGATTGGCGGCGGTGATCGGAGCTCCAGCTGGCTGTGGCAAGGGATGGAGTGGAGGGCGTTGTGAGGGGTCCATGAACGGGTATCGCTGAGACGGTCGTAACATGAGTACAGGTACAGGCTGTCAGGAAGAGACATCCGTGTGGGCTACTCGAGACCCAAGGCTGAGTCGTGCAGGGGGGACCCTAGAATCTCGGAGTGGTGTTAGTGGATTGGCGCAGCACAAGTATGGAGACTGCAAACATGTGGGAGATGGAATCGGGCTGCGGTGCCGGAATCCTTGGCTCATTCCTGTCCTTCAGTGCTCAATGTGGTGACCCTGCCAGCCAATCCCCGCAGCACAGTTCCTGCATCGCTAGTTGATTCTCCGAGTGGCCTCATTCTATCATTTTCCCCCAATTTTTTGGTCGGTGTACCGAGTGCCCCAGGCGGTGACCCTTGTTGAGGGTCTACTGTCTTTCGTCCGTCATCGTTCACGGTAAGCAGGTTCAATCTGTTTGTACCATGTTCAAGGCGTTTTGAACACCACCATTGAAGATGGTGCAGACCCGACAGTCGTCGCAGAAGCCAACGCGCCGCGACGCCAATGGCCATGCAAACGGGACCGCCAATGGTCACATCAACGGACACGTCCTCACCTCGAGTGACGACCAAATAGATCGATCCAGATGGCGAATGCTTGATGAATCCGGTCGACAAACCTGGCACTACCTCAGAACCGATCAAGAAGTTGCTAAATGGCCACAATCGACCGCAGACAAGTATTATCTAGGATTACCTACAGTAGGTCTGATTTCCACAATGGTTCGAACCTGCACTGACAAACTAAGGACCTCCCTGAACTCCCTGCTGCCTCGAAACCGTCTGAATCGATCGACAATTGCTTGAGCTTCTATTCACAATTGCAGCTCCCTCCAGGCAACTGGGCTTGCGAATATGGTGGACCCCTTTTTTTGATCCCGGGCATCGTGATCTGCTGGTACGTGACAGGAACGCCCATCCCGTTGGAATACAAGATCGAAATGAGGAACTACCTCTTCGCAAGACAAAATGAGGACGGCGGGTGGGGTCTGCACGTTGAAGGTCACAGCTCAGTCTTCGGCACAGCCATGAACTACACCATCCTGCGAATACTGGGAGCCAGCACGGAAGACCCAAGAATGATCACAGCCAGAGGAAAACTACATTCGATGGGTGGAGCAACCCATGGTCCTCACTGGGCTAAATTCTGGCTTAGTGTTTTGGGGATTACCCGCTGGGATATTGTCAATCCAGTTCCTCCCGAACTATGGCTTGTGCCTGACTGGGTTCCGATTGCACCGTGGCGGTGGTGGATTCACATGCGCCAGGTGTTCCTCCCCATGTCCTACATCTGGTCCAAGAAATTCACGTTTCCTGAGAATGATCTCATTCGATCTCTGCGACAGGAGCTGTTCGTGCAACCCTACGACTCGATCGATTTCGGCTCACACCGTAACTCGATTGCCGTTGAAGACAACTATCATCCGAAATCCTGGCTGTTGAATCTGATAAACTGGCTCTTGGTGTGGATCTGGATTCCTCTTCTTCGTGCAAACTCGATCGTCGACAAGGCCGAAGCTTGGGTCTGGCGACTGGTCCAGTATGAAGACCACAATACGGACTATGCAGACCTGGCTCCCGTCAACGCCCCAATGAACACTATCTGCTGCTTCATCAAAGAAGGACCTGACAGCTATTCATTCAAGAGACACCTCTACCGCCTCGAGGAATATCTCTGGGTTAATAAAGAAGGAATGCTCGTCAACGGGACCAACGGCGTTCAAGTCTGGGACACATCATTCACCATTCAAGCCTGCGTTGAAGCTGGCTTGGCGAACTCGCCGAAGTGGAAGCCAATGCTCACCAATGCACTGCACTATTTGGAGTCGGAACAGATCCGGGACGAAGTGCCCGACCGGGAAGTCTGCTACCGTCAGTCACGCAAGGGTG